TTTTTTAAAACAACATAACTTTAGCTATAAATTCCACCTTATAATGTGTTTCATAATTCAAATGCCTTATATGTTTTATCTTTAAAATTTTAATTTCAATTTTTAAAATTTGAAGATTAGGCTCTAACAATGGAAATTCCACAGCGACCGTTCAATGGAAGTGATACATTTAATTGACCTAATAAGAGTCGTAGAAATGTCGGCAAAAATCCCGCAACGTTTTGTTTATTTAAGAGCTTTATAGACGACTTTATTTGGAGTAAAATTCAAAAATAAAAAAAGCATTTCATTTTTTTCGATAGTTAACTCTCATCAAAATATATCGAATTTTTATATTCGAGTTGATACAAATTTTAGTTAAAACATTGATTTTACACGCGTAAATGTCATTTAAAATCACCGGTCGCTTCAAGGTTGTTTATGAGAGAACGGTTCATTCTAAACAAAAAGTGAAAATTAACATTTTTTCTTCAAAATTATTTTAGCTGCATTTTTTTCTCAAATTCTTGGTAAATCGATGATCGCCCCTTATGAACGGATTTTAGGGAAAAGCCCGGAGGTATGAGAAGCAAATTTTTCATCTTTTTTAAGTTTAGAAAGCTGACATTCTCAGCAAAATTCAGGTTGTATGATTTTTAGAGGTCAGATCTCTGATGATTGGACTCGGGAGTGATTTTAAATAAAATAGTTCTAGTACAATCAAATAAAATTTTGTATATAAATAAAGCATTTATTTTTTTATTTTTGTATTAGGTTTTAAATTGATACATTTTCCAGATCAAAATTTAAGTAAAAAAAAATGAATTTAATTAAGTAAGCATCGGTTTAATTTTACGGGAACATTGTTTAAACATTGATCAAAATGTCAAAATTAACAATAAATGCTTCTTTTTGAACTTTATATATATATATATATATATATATATATATATATATATATATATATACAGATTGAACGAAATAAATTCGGAACATAGGAATATAATGTATTTCGGCTCAATTCTGCTGTAGCTGGTTGGCCAAAAAAAGATTGTCAAATAATTATATTATAAAAAATCCCATACTTCAGCGAGCTGCTGGATTCTGAACTCATACAAATTGAAAGCTACACATAAATCTACGATTATGCTGTCAAACCAGTTATAGTCCAGGAAATGTAGCATTTCACCTCGCAATTTTTTCGTGCGGCGTGGATTGACTTGAAATTTAACAGAAGGTAGGTAATAGCCTAAGGATCAAAATCTATATCGAACCAAAGTGCGCCAAAGCCTAGGGGGTGGTTGCCACCCCATCTCCGGGGTGAAAATTTTTTTTTACGTTTTAACTACAGGTTTCGATTAGAAAAGTGATTCTAAACAAAAAATGTGCTATACATTTTTTTTATAAAATGATATTTTTCAAGTTATTCGCGATTGAAAGTAACAACTTTTAGACGAAAAAATCCACGTTTTTAATCGATTTTTCGCGAATAACTCGAAAATGGTGCATTTTATCAAAAAAATTGTAGAGAACAAATTTGTAGCTTTTAAAAAGACAAATACAATTACAAATACAATATCAATGTTCAGCGGTTTTCTTCAAATGCCAAATTTGAAAGATTCAAAGTCAAATATCGGGAAAATGATGCATTTTTGGAAGAAAACTCACAAAACCTTTTTTAAAGAGCATAAATAGACCTATCATAAAAAAATAAGGTCAATACCTAATTTTTTACGAAAAAATCGAGGAAAACAACACCCTAACCACCCCCATAATTAAAATCGATCTTCACCCTTCTGCAATTCCCTTTGTAGATGTATTGTTATGATACGTCCAAGAAGTTTGACCCATTTAAAATGCTTAGTTTTAGAAAAAGTACAGCTTAAAGCGAGAAACGATTTACAATTTCATATTTTTTACCCTTCTTTTTTTAAATATGCCCGAAAATACTAAATATATGAAAAAAATAAAAATTACCAAATTGTATGTTTTTTAATGACTAAAATTATCCTTTATTTAGATTTGTTGTACAATGAATATTTGGCGAGATATAGCCGTTTAAAGCATCGATTTACGATCAAGCACCATCTTTTTCGAGCCCTTTAAACTCACCCCATTTAAAAACCAAGGGTTCCAAAGAGATTTAATTCACAGATCCTTGTAGCTCTTAAAAACCTCTACAAATCGTTTTTGAGGAAACACTCTATCGTTAAAAATGAAGGAAATACGTTAAAAAACCAATTAATTTTTTTTCCGGAAAATTCCATTAGTATAGTACAGTACATTTCGGAGCATAATAATCTACAAAAGCGGTATATTAGCTAGTGGGGCGTTATATCGTTTACGTTATTTTGAAATCCCATACAACAGAATAAAACATCTGCTCATATGTCTATGGCTTGGCAATGAAAATATCAGAGCAACAGATTGGGATGGTTTTCCAAAGATGGTTTGTTATTACCCGTACGCATGAACAAACAACCTGCACCCGATAAATTTTTGAAAATTATTTTTTGCCAATGCAAAAAAGGATGCGGCGTTTCATATGGGTGCAGAAAAGTTGGTTTATACTGTAACTCTACTTGTTCTGGGTGCTCAGGTGAAGGGTGCAATAACAGTCCACCAATAATTGAGGAAGATGATGATGGCATAGATCACGATGAAGATGTAATTGATGACGAATAAAGTTAATATTATAATTGTTTTACCTATACATGTAAATATTTTCAACTATTTATGTAAATGTAAAAGAATATATGGTGCCTTTTTATGTTGATAATTTTTTTTGTATTTAATTCTACTTTTTTCAATTTATATCTTATAAATTAGTTTATAAAAACTTCAATGTTGTAAAGGGTGATTTTCAAAAGTTGAAAAGTTGCAAAATTTTGGCAAAAAATTGTTTTCACCTATAGCACTCATAACAATTGATTTTTTAGGGTTGAAAATGTATGAATTTGTATTTTAAAGTATAAAAAACTCACTATTTAACTAATCCAAACCAAATTTCACTCATCTTAGGATTTGTAATATTATTTTACAATTTTTGAAAATTAGGGGTAGTTTTCACCCCTAAGAACAATCAGGGTTCATCGGCATGACATAAACTATAAAGCAGAGAGTGAGTTGAGCTTAATTCCAAATTTTTATGCAAGTCGTTTCAAGGTGAAATCATTTTCTTCGCATTACTAATTTTTTTATATTAATCTCTAATGAGGGTCGCTTTTTAAGGGTTAAAATATGATGGAACTTTATTGAAAAGCACGAAACTATCATTATTTAATTAATTCAAACCAAATTTTACCCATATTCAGGTTTAATATGTTATTTTATAATTTTTGACAATTAGGGGTAGTTTTCACCCCTAAGAACAATCAGGGTTCGTCGACATGACATAAACTATAAAGCAGCGGGTGAATTGAGCTTAAATCCAAATTTTTATCCAAATCGATACAAGGCGAAATCATTTTTTTAAAATTAGTAATTTTTTACATTAATCTCTAACAAGGGTTGCTTTTTAAGGGTTGAAATATGATGGAACTCTATTCAAGAGTATAAAATAATCATTATTTAATTAATTCAAACCAAATCTTACCCATATTCAGGTTTAATGTTATTTTATAATTTTTGACAATTAGGGGTAGTTTTCATCCCTAAAACCCTTCAGCGCACTTCGGTTCGATATAGATTTTGATCCTTGGGCTATTACCTACCTTCTGCTAAAATTTAAACTGGATACATGCAGGACGAAAAAATTGCGAGGTTTTAACTTTTTTCGAGCTTCAATTCCTGAACTATTTTCGCCTCCTTAGACAAACCCGTCTTACGCAAACAACTTTGTTGCAAGACAGATAGTTGAACGATATTTTATACAATGTCTATACCCAGGTATGGATTTATTTTTGTCCAAGTTTTATATTGGTCCACTATTTTAAATGCAGTTCAAACAGACATGTATTAAATTGTATGTTCCGTTTTAATTTGGTTCAATCTGTATATATATATATATATATATATATATATATATATATATATATATATATTATATATATATATATCCGGTTTTTTAGGCGTTACGCCCGTCCGGTAGGTATCTATGGAGGAGTATCACCGAGCCGCAAGCCCTTATCTCTTGCCGTACTGCTCCACCATAGGCCGATCAGATCCCAGCATATTCTAGTCTAAGCCGCAGATTCATCTAGAATTTTAAATTGCTGCGTTAGACTTTTTGTTTTCTGTACACCGAGCTGGGGCTCGATCCCACATCCACTGAACCATTCGACAGTGAAGCGAATGAGAGGCAGCCGCACAGCCCGCTGAGCTATCTGACCGACACGTTATAAATAAAATTTTATAATATATATATATATATATATATATATATATATATATATGTTATATTTTATATAATTCATTATTAAATATTAATGCTTTTTAAATAATTATTTCCCCCCACTTTATAAATTGGAGATTCCTTTTAAAAGACAATTTTAAATCATTATTTATCGTAAACAAATTATAACAATTTTATTTAAAAATCCTTTATAAAAGGTATATAATTGAAAATACCCTTTAGGGCTACATCAAAGAATGTTTTTGTCTAAAATGTAGTTTGGATAATAGACTTTTTGATCCGAAAACGTTCTGTAATGTAGCTCGAAAGGGTATTTTTGATTAGATACCTTTTTTTATAGGATTTTTAAACACAACTTTTTTGATTGATGGTATACAGCGCCAACTACAGGAATTTTATTTTTCTTGTGGAGTAAAAAAATTAATTAACCTTTTGACTAAAAGAAAAAGTTTTAAAGGGATTAAATAAAGAGAAACATCTGTACAGAAAAATACAATTTGGGAAAACCAGCTACTTGGGTCACTTACTACGATAAGAACATAAACAATGCCGCAAATAAATTCCAATCTCCAAAGATAAATACAGCACGTGAAGACAAAAATGATAGATTGATATGAAAAATATATCCATTGATCAAATTTTTGTTTCTATATTAAATAAAACTTACCTGAGGATAGTCTCCGTCTTTCGTTTGATAATCGAATACATAAAAGAACGTCTTAGGACTATTTGATTCTTGTCCTACTTGAGGTGGTTTAACACTAAGTAAATCTCCAGTTTGCACTAATGGAGCCACGAACTGAGCATCACTAAGAGCAGCTATAACAGAATCTCTAGTATTTACAGGATGCTGCACCGTCCTCTCCCATTCGGTATATTCATTAACTATGGTAAAAAATATTTCACTTAAGTGATAAGTGTATGCATTTCGTACGTAAGTTCTTAAAATTCTATCTCTCCTTTCACCTTCGAAACCTGCGGTCACATCGTTGTTAGAGAACATCCAAAGGGCTTCGCTGGTAACCACCCCATATAATAGATCATAGGGGTTGTTTCCACGAGGGGTAATTGTGGCTTCGCTTCTCTTCATATTAACGTTTACAGGTCCCACGAAATACTGTAAGTCTTGAGGCTTAAAATAGGTTACTAGTTCTTTGGCAAAGTCTGCTTTGATGACCACTCCGTCGACACTTGGACCGAACGCACTAAGGTACGAGGGGGCCACAACGTCAGCTTGGAGAAGTTCCGTTAGGGAAATTTCTCTGAGACAATCTACGATAATCTCGTGATCTCTTCCAACGTCCTCCGGAATTGAGCAATTCACTTCTTTGGCTAATTTGACGGCATAATTAACGGGGTCTTCAACCTGTAATTAAAAAAAAATATATATAATATTAAATACACTTGATCGGTTATAATACTGACAAGCAATAAAAACTTGTTGATCAATAAATAGAGAGTCAACTTTATAACTAAATAGTTTACTTTGGGAATTTTCTATACCAGAAGATTTCTTGCTTTTTGGAAGGAAAAATTTGGTACGTTTACTCTTCTACAAAAGTGACAAACACAAAAAGTCAATTACCAAAGTTACCGGTTTAAAACTTAAGTTTATTACTTAAGAGCTGCCTTTTCAGGAGATAAATATAGCCACATCTTATGGTTCTGAAGACAAGCTTATACAAAGTTGTGATAAAGTATGGAACCAAGTAAATATATTTAAAACAAAGAAGTCTATATTCATAAAACTTTATATGAAATCAATGATACATAAGTCATCTGACGCTATATTTTTTGTAACTAATCCTAATTCATACTTAATAATTTTGGTAAAAAAATTTGTTAAAACAAGAAGTAAATCAGTTCATAGTTAAAGAATAGATATATTTATTAACCAATGGGAATAATAATTTAAAAAATCACTTCAAATGTTTAAAAATTTGAAGTTCACCTCCTGACAATGTGCAAAGTTACTCCTTCAAAGACTTCTTCACGTATTAGTTCACATTCAACAATATTATTTGTCTTACAATTCTTAAACTAATTGTATATATGCGAATATTTCCAAATTTTCAATATTTTTCTTGCAGCGGGCTCAAATTGTTTTTTGACAATATCTTCGGTTTTAATCAAGGTAGAAATTCATTCTTTTTTTCAATATATAGGATATTTTATTATCAACGTTATGCTATTTTTTTTACAAAAGTTTGGCGTAAAATCAAAATTTTTGAAAGCTTTTGAAATTCCTAAAATTTGTTTAAGAAAAACTGTCTCGAATGACACACCAAAAAAATATATAATATTGTGTGAGTATAAATTTATCTCCATGAGATTTTTCCGATTTTTATCGGGTAGCATCATTCGGTTTAAAAAAGCTAACTCGAACGACCCTCCATTATAAGTATATATATATATATATATATATATATATATATATATATATATATATATATATATTATATATATATATATATATTAATATATATATATATATATATATATAAGTTATAGAGCGACGCCTATGGATTCATTCGTGCCATGGACTTAAGACTGCTGACATGGTTAAAGCATTGAACTCTAGAGTGCTGACGCTATATTTGCATAATATTGTGAATTGTATAATTGCAATTGTATATGTGTTATTTTAATTAATATTTTATTCAGTTTAGAATCTGATTTTATTGTAATTAGTCGTTTAGCTCTTAATAAATTCTTTTTTTAAAAAGGACTTTTGGCATTCCCAAATTTGAGTGGCGCAGTCAGTAGCTAGGTCAAACGGGTTTAGCGAATATAAATTCGGTTCGTTTCAACGATTTATTGACCTTAATCGGAAGTGTTATATTCCTGTGGGTGGATTGAGTAGCCCTTTATAACAGGAATCGTGTTAAGTGGACTTTTCGAGTGAATATCGAAGATACCTGCCTAGTCAACCTTCTGAGTGAACCAGCTTACATGGAGTGGACAATTATTCTCTGGTAAGTGCTTATGTCGTATAGAGAGCCTAAAATTCTAATAAATTCTGATTCATCAGACTCAGATTCTGACTCAAAACTCCCTATTAAATATAATCTTTGTTCTAATTCATCCTTAATAAATAATCGTACTTTTAATTTAAATTCTTACTCAAAAAATAAAATAAAAATGGCAATCCCACAATTAAAAAAGGAATATCTTGATATGATTCCAGATTTCCACGGAGAAAATACATTACTTCCTAGATTCGTGGAAATCTGTGAAAAATTGATTAATAAATTTTATAATACAGTTGATTCAGATGATTTTCAGAATGAGTACTTAATGTCTAGCATATTAGCAAAAGTAAAAGGTGAAGCTGCTATTAACATTTCAGCATGTGTAGTTAGGACCTGGCAAGATCTTAAAGATGCCTTGCTAAATACATACGCTGATAAAAGAGATATTTATACCCTTAGTATAGAAATGTCAGAATTAAAGCAAAATAATGAAACTCCCTTTGAATTCTTCAATAAAGTCCAACATCTTTTGAATTTACAAATATCTTTAATTACTACACGTTCTAATGACCAAGAATTATTAATTTTATCAAACTATTTTAGAAATTTAGCCCTACGAGTATTATTACGTGGTCTAAAAGAACCACTTGGCACCTTCATGCGAACTAAAAACCCTAAAGATTTAAATTCTGCCCTAAGTATTTTAACTAACGATTTTCAAATTTATTTAAACGAAAATAATTCTTCACAATCTAGGCAAACAAAGCCAAATTTTCTAAATAATCGTAATCCAAGACCAAATCTTAACTTTCAACAACAATTTCCTCAATCGAACAGATCCTTTAGATTCAACGAATCTCGACAAAGAACTCCAGCCCCACCTATAACAAACTCCACACAATTTCAACAAACAACAAGACAACCATCAGCATCAACCTCTTTTTCAAATAATAACAGAGGAACTAATACTTTTACAAATAACAGAAGTAGTAACGTCTTTAAATCAAATCCAAATCAAAGATTTCAAGCCCCAACTCCAATGAGTACCACTAGTCAAAATACTTTCAGACCAACAAATTTTGGAAATCAAAGACGCTTCAATAACACATTTTCAAGTCAACCACAAAATATCATAGCTGAAGAGCTACATAATATTGGCGATACCGAGGAAGTTGAATTAACAAATGAGAATCATTTTTTAGAGAACAAAGCCTTGGAAAATCCATAATTACTCAAGTTGAACTTTTAAATCTAATAAATAACGAAAGTGAATTGCCGTACATTGTATTTCCTGAGCATAATCTTAAAGTACTAATAGACACTGGGAGCACAAAATCGTTTGTAACCCCAGAAGTCGCTGAAAAATATTTTAAAAATTCAATTTTTCGTAAACCCTTTCAAATTTCAACAGCACTTGGAGCAAAACAGGAAAATTACTGTACCGAAATTCCCTTATCAAAAATTTTTAATACTAAAAATAAATTAAATTTAAGTTATTGCGTTTTTAAATTCCATGACTATTTTCACTGCTTATTAGGCCTCGATAATTTAAAAAAATTAAATGCAAAAATTGATTTGGCCAATAACGTTTTAATTACCTCGCATAGTAAGATAAAATTAAATTATTATAAAGCCGGGAATAGTGGCAACACGAATTGTATAGTAGTGCCGCCACGAACCGAGCAAGTTATCAGTTTAAATGTTAAAAATATAAAAAATGGCGATGTAATTATACCATATACACAAATCGGTAAATTAGAAATTCCGGAGTGCCTTACGACGGTAGAAAACAATAAGGCTATTTGCACCATTTTGAATTCTTCTGAATCTTATTTTAAATTGGATGTAACTTCCCCAATCATGGTGGAAAAGTTCGCTGAATACGAACAAATTTCAAATCCAAATTTTAATTCCATATATGCTGAAGAATTTAAATTCGATATTTCGAAAGTTCGAACAGATCATATGAATTTTGAGGAAAGAAATTCAATATTAAAGTTAATAAAAGAATATTCCGATATCTTCCATGTCGAAGGAAACCAATTAACTTTTACTAATAAAATTAAACATACAATAAAAACAACAAACGATATACCAGTATATTCAAAATCCTATAGATACCCGGAAATTTATAGGAAGGAAGTGCAAAATCAAATCCAGAATCTGCTGGATCAAGATATTATTAGACCTTCGGATTCCCCTTGGTCTTCTCCTATATGGGTGGTCCCAAAAAAATGGACGCCTCCAAAAAACCCAAGTTTAGAGTCGTAATAGATTATCGACGTCTTAATGCTATCACACTTGGTGATAGATACCCTTTACCTAACATTAGTGACCTATTGGATAAACTTGGACGGTGTCAATACTTTACGACACTCGACCTCGCTTCAGGGTTCCATCAAATCGAGATGGATGAAAGCGACATTCAAAAAACTGCATTTAATACAGAAAATGGTCACTACGAATTTTTGCGAATGCCTTTCGGACTCCGTAACGCCCCAGCAACATTCCAACGGGTTATGGATAATATCCTGAGAGGTATACAAAATGAAAAATGTTTGGTTTATCTTGACGATATAATTATATTTAGTACAAGTCTTCAGGAGCATCTTGTTAATTTAAAAGAAGTGTTTCAAAGATTAACCAGAACAAAGATAATTTCAAAACATTTGAAAACTAATCAACAAAAATTAGAACATCAGATACCTAATCAATATTCCCCCAGTCAACAAATCATAGATAACTTCAATAAAACCATTCAAGATATTCAAGCAAATGGAATAATTCTTAAAACAAAGATTTTTGAGATAAAAGATATTTTCGATTTTCAAACCAAAATTGAGAACGTTATTTATCTAAAAGACATGTTCAATGAACTCATTATCACATATAATTCTATACTTGATGTAATGGAGACTGTAGAAAATTCTATTACTTTTTGTAAGCTCAAAACCTTACACCCTAGTATTATTAAATCTAGTGACCTATTTCGAGAATTACAAAGAATCTCTTTATTTTACAAAACACAATTACCATTTGAATTAAAACACGAAAATATTTTAGATTTTGAATCCATTCTGGAAATCACCTGTAAAATAGAGGAAAACCAAATTCAATATTTTCTGACAATTCCTATCGATTTTGAGAACATTTTTGATCTTTATTATTTATTACCTATACCCACACAAATTGAGTCAGAATTTGCAATAATAATACCTAATACAAGATATTTGTTAAAAAATAAAAATACAATAATACCTCTCAACGACATCTGCACCCACGGTAAAATTTTCCAATGTCCAAGCCGTCTACAAAATAACCAAGAACACCTATGCGAAAAGGAAATAATCTTACGAGAAAACTCCACTAATTGTCAATATATTAAGGCAGACAT